AAAAAAAAAAAAAAAAAAAAAAAAAAAAACCCCCCCAAAAAAAAAAAAAAAAAAAAACGAGCAACGAAATGAAACAATAACGTCGATCGCAAATTGATTGCGATATTCGGCGCATTTAACAGATCGATGACCCGCCGAGCAAATCCGCGATTTGCCCGAGACGCGACACGTGAACGCGCGCAGTATACCAACTGTCGGGCGAAACTATACTTAATGACATTTCGCGCGGCACAAGCGCGGCGCGCAATCTCTAATACCGTCGGGTTTTTTCTTCTGTTTTTTCCGTTTTTCGTACCAGCGCGGTTAACGTCCACATCCGGTGCAATCGAAGTCAGGGTCGTATCGAAGTCAACGCGCGCGTGGAACGTAAAAAAAAGAGAGCGTCGCGGACTTTCGCGCGAGCGACACTGCGTACGCCCGCTTGAGACCCTTTTCCCGATCGCGCTTGCACAAGCCGCTCCACGCCACCGGCGAATCGTGCACTCATAATCGGCGAATGTTCGGTGAAGCTTAAAGAAAGAAATTCCGAGACGTGCCGCTACTCTTAACCTGTTAACCGAGGGGGAGAGGACGAGTTAACTCGTCACTTTGGCGAAACAACGAAAGTTTCGCAATTGCACGCGCGCGCGCGGGAAGAACAACAATCCGTTTGTGTTTTCGGTCTTGCAACGCGAAGACGCCGTATCCTCCGACGTCTCTCAGCTACTCCGATCTTAAATTTATCCACCGCATCTTCGATTCTCAATATCCTATTTAGACCGAGATACGACAATCTAGACTTTCAGTCTCCGATCTGGAAATATCCCGGCTAGCGAATCGAGCGATATCTCCGACGCTTCGGATTCAAGAACACGCGCGCATCGAGCATCCAGCCCTTTGCGCGTTTATATCTCGCCGTCACTAGCATAAGTCTTCTTTCACGACGCACCCTTTGAGACCCCGCCTCGCGCGCACGCACATACGCACATGCACACACACATCGGCTAACATAAATAAATATGCGCTTTAATTAGCAAGTTGAGTTAATAGCATTGTAATTAACTGAGCGTGCTAATTAATTCATCCCTAATTAACACGGCTACCTTTCTGTGCCATTACGCGTGCGCATTAGCGCTCGGAGGAACAAAGTGCGGGCCACAAAGACTCGTCGCGGCAGCGAGCGAGGTGCAATGATTATCACAATGAATTTGCATAATTCGTCCTTCGTGTGCCGTACGAAAATCGCGATATTACTCCTTTCGCGTATTACCCCTGCCACCCTGTTCCGGTTTTCGCGACGACGGGCGGCACCCGCCGTGGGGCGGGCGGAGAGGAGCGCCGGCTGAAAATCGCGGCGGTGTTAATTAAACGTGCGCTAATTTCGAAATGTCAAACCCCCTTGAGTCACGTGAATCGCGAACGACACGAACGAGATCGCGTTTTATATTGCGCCATTTATAATGTACACACATCAAACTGTTGAGCGCATACGGGAAACGCGTGTATGATTTATTGCAACGAGCTGCAACACGAGATTGTGTAGAAAAAAAAGAAGGAAAAAGGCAGCGTGCGTGAGTGAGAGTGAGAGAGGAAAGGACAGGAAAACACATACACGATAGGGCCTGTGGCGACCGGAGAAATGAATCGATAAGCTTTTATGCGCTGTGATTTTTTTTATTTTTTCAATCCTCTTCCCTCCTTTTTTTTTTTATAAAACGAGACTGATCCCTGACCAGAATCAGTGGACGGCAATAACTATCACACGGTAATTTAAACATCACCGTGGCGTGCGCGTAAGGATTTCAAGCGCGGGAACTCGGTGAATAAAGAAAAAAAGGGTCGAAGGAAGATGAATCAAGAGCAAGCGCGTGCCAAGTCGCTAGGTAGACGAGGAGGTCTTTCAGTGCTTAAAGAGCTCGAACGTAAAGTAGAGATGTCGATATTTATTTAGTTTATCTTTAACCTCGGGAAATGAGGGAAGGAGTGGAAGATTCGACTAATAAGTGTCATTAAGTAAGTATAATGAGAGAATAGACTGACGACAGATTAGATAAGTGTAACAGATTAATCTTAACATGTCACACACATGCATTCATGAGCGAAATATTACGTAAGGGAAGACTGTTTGGCTCGATAAGACGTCGAGTAAGTTTAGCGGAGAACAATAAATTCATGTTTGCTCCAGTTTGTAGTCAGCCGAGCGTCTATACCGGCTATATTCGTAGATTTGAAAGAAACCTTGACTAGAAGCAAGCAAAGCGAGGCGAGGCCATAGAAATCCATTAGGCTTGCGCCCATAAATTCGCGACCGACGAGCGGCGGACAATCCTCTCTGTTGGGTGGGAGAGTAGTTTGTCGGGGCGAGAAATGGCGGATAAACACACGCGCGCGAATTGCTAGGATGATCTCAATAAAGATTCTTTACGCTACTTTACGCGCTCTCTCGCTGTGTGCTTTACGTTCGGGCTTTCAGACACTCGGAGAATTGTCACCTTGCATCTTTCTCGTCTATGCGGTCTAGCTCGCGTCATCCCTCGGGCCGTCTCCCTTCGACTTTTTAATTATTACGTGGCGGCTGTTGAGAAATCGTTACTCCGCTCTCGATACATCACTGAAGTTCATTGGACGCAATTTTAATTTTTGAGTTTTTGTTTTGAGCATTTTTAGTTGTTTCTTTGCAAGGATTAGTTAGGATTCATAACTTTTGAAGCATAAACTGTTTAGTATTTGTTACTACAATGACATAATCAAATAATTATAGTCAGCCAATTATCGAGATCATTTTTTGTAGTAATTGTTATTAGTAATTTCTTGTTAGAGAGAAAGAGAACGGTGGAATATACGGTCGATGCCGAAAATGACTACACGAAGTGAATTTCATAGTAAAAATTACTGTAGAACTTTGCAATCGATATAATAGATATAATAGATCGACACTGCAGTAATTGATTATCCTTTCTTTTCATGTATATCAGATTTATATTTTAGGAACTGAAATGTGTGCTATTAAAAAATGTTCTATGTTTTTCTAACGAAATCAATTACCCAAGCAAAAATGTATCTAAATAATAATCAAAATAATAATAATCTAAATAATAATAATCAAAAATGTAGAACAGGTTTTAAGACTAGTAGCTAGATAGCTAGATAATGACTAGATAATGACTAGTAGCTAGATAATGACTAGATAAGTTTTCTAGTCAATAACCAGTTCGTGACTAGCTAAATATTCCTACTCAGTCTTTTGAATGTTAGGACTATCTAGTAGCTATATCAATTACATAGATAGTGGTTAGATGAAAAAGATTACACATTAACGAGATAGAAAATCATCGGTAAATCCTGAATAGAAATTGAATATCAAAACTGTCTAGTAACTATACCAATTATAGTTACGAGTTATTTTTTTGTATCTAGCTACTAGATAATTTTTCTGGCACAGCCACTAGAAGAAGTGAGCGTTACATTCCTAACTAGTAGCGATGTAAGACCCAACTTTTCTGTGTCATTACTAGACAATCACTAGATTCAATTTTTGCTCGGGTATGTTCCTTATCAAGTCTGTTCCCGCGCACATCACCAGAGAAATATCGTAAAATTCAGAAGTATTCATGTATGAGAGGGGAGAAGAAATTATACATCCTCTTCATTAATACATATCCTATAATAACTTATAATTTCAACGCGTGAGATTGGCCATTGTTCTCTCTCAATGCCCCAAGAACAGGGAGGACTTGTCCCTCTTTTAACAGAAGCAATTAATCTCTCAATTGGATTTATACCACGACGGCGCAGCGTCGAGGGTTAAAGGGGTTTAACGGGCGATTCGGACCTCGTCGGCGGGGAGGTAATCGTCGCAATGGCCGCGGTGCGGTTCGATCTCGCGGTGCGAAGGGCGCGTTAAGCGATACTAACGTCGCACTTGTAGCGTGGCGGCGTGGTCTCCGCTTTCAAACGATCGATCCCTTGTCGTCGCGCTCCTTCCGATCGAGATGCACGCGCGACCCAGGCCGGTGCAGGCTTGCACGTGCGTTCCACTGCACAAGTACGGCACGGCACGGTGCGGCACGGCGCGACTTCGGAGCAGCGAACGGGCAAAGTGTAACTGTAAGACCTCTCACCGTGGCACGCCACTTTATAATTCATCTCCCACTCTAACAACTGTCGTATTCCCCGGCGGAGGCACCCATTATAGATCACGTCGATGGATCTGGACGTTCGTTAATTTTCAATTTTTTTTTTTTTTTTTTACTTTTTTCTTCTTCTCTTTTCGTTTTTTCCGTCGGTGATTCCGTCGCGAGCTAATCGTCACGTCGTTGCTCATGTGCCGGAGAGGAATGCGCCGTGTGATCGTTGTCCTAAAGAGATAGACTGCAGATAGAGACGCGACACCCGTCGTCACGTAGATCTCGACACGCGGTCACTTCGAGGAAGAGATTGTCGATTTAACACGGCCGCGGTGATTGATCGTTCTCGCTTGTGAAATTTCGCGCAGAGTTCCGTACGCGCGCGTCGGGATTTCGCGGGGGATCGCGCGTGAATCACGAAGAATAGGAAATGAAGAAGATGAGGCATGCGGGAATTTACGCAAGGGACCGCGTGTAAACGCGTTAGGGTCAATTATCCATTCGCGAGTAACTCGTCTCTCGTTTAATCGGACGTTATCTCTTGTATACTCACGTTCGTTTGCGCAGCCGAGCCGAGTTGTTAGCTCGCGACTCGGCGAATTCGTCGAAACGTGTCGTACTTCGCGCCGAGATTATTAATGTACCGCGCACGCGAGACGATAATTCTCCGCGAGAGAGAGATCGCTGTAAAATAATTAGCTTACACAATCGCCTAAACGATAGCGACGCGATCTGAGCGCCGCGCCGAGGTAACGATCGGCACGTCGATTCATACTGATAACACGTCGCGCTCGCATCGACACGTCCGCGCAAAATGCGTATCGCGGCCTTATAATTCCGAGCCGGTCGTTACGGTAAACGAGGGACGCGTCATTTAAATGTGTCGCGCTCGCCCGCGCGAGCGTGAAGCTCGCTTGTTGGTGTCAGCAAAATGCGGAACTATTTCTTCGCACACGCGATTGCGGCATTAACCGCCGTTACACGTGCGAATGAGACGTATCCTGTGGCACGTATACACACACACACACACACACACACACACACACACACATACAGAGACACGCACGTGTTTCACGATAAATCACTCTTCCGGACTATCCGTGCAATTAACAATCCAATCAATTCGCAAATGACTCCCGACGCGAGAATGATATATTTGTATGCATAAATGGAATCACTTGAATCTTATGAGAGAAAAAAACTACCTTGTCGCCCACCAAGTTTAAAATACGTATAGAGAACGCTCAATAATTGTGTGGCGAAGCGCGATTAATCGCCAATTGCGGGGACGTGCACATTCTCCGATCAGCAATAAATCGCTTCTTACGTTAACGCGTGAATCACATCTCGTAACACAATCGATTCCGCGCGGGACTTTAATCTCGAATCTCAAATTTTTACACGGCAAAAATGTTTTATTTCCTTGCGTTAGTACCCATGTATTAATTTAAATTGTTGTTCTTATATTGTTTTGACTATTCTGAGTTTTGGGTTCGTATTCGTATATTTAAATGTTAAAACGATAGAATTTACATGCAACATGTACATTCTTGATATCTTTTGCATGAGAAATGTACAGATAAATTGTTTGTTAATGTATATTCGTCTTGTGCTTAAATTGATACGAGAATTAGATTGGAGAAATTGGAATATGTGAAGCGCGTTAAATTCAACGCGGGACTTTTTGCAGTGCGATAACACTTCAATATATGCGTTATTAATTACTTTGCGAATTGGCGTGCGAGGCCACGATTATCAGCCGCGCTTATGTATCGGCGAATTATCTGTTTGCGGATTGCCTATTTACCGTATCATAAACAAATGTTCACACGGATATTTGCTCGTAAACAAATTCCGTGCGCTCACGCACCGGTAATGCAAACATTTTTGGATCAGTGCCGAGCGGATGGACGTTTTCGCTAACAATTAACGCCGCCATTGAAACACGAGCGCCTAAGACCGCACGCCAAGAGAACAAACCAATCTCGCGCGTATACACGCAAGCTCGATCTTTACGAGCAAATTCACACGCAAAGCGAACGGGACTGAAGCTGCGCTCCGTATCGTATTCACTTTCTATACTCATTGACATGCCGAGATCCGCGTCTCGATGACGTGTCGATTCGCGCGCGAATGCATTATCTTAATGCCCCAGGTTGTCAATATAGTCAATTAGACGCTCGCGTAGATTATTCACGGATATTAGCCGTGTTTCGCAAGTAGCGACGAACGAGCTACTAATCGTCGGCCGACGACAGAAACGGATTTCGCGCACGATTTCGCAACGGGCGGCGAAGCGAGCTCCCCTTCTCTTTCTCTCTCTCTCTCTCTCTCTCTCTCTCTCTCTCTCTCTCCTCTCTTCTGCCGGCAAACAATCGGCCTCGCCTGCGCTCTCGATGTACGCACGTACATCGGATAATGTCTGCGAAATGCTGTCGCTCGCGAAGCGCCGTCCATTACCCCTCGATGCGCCGCATTAATTTGGCGAGACAATTTGATCCTTCGCGAGCGAATTATTAGCGCGCCGTCGGCGCGCGAAAAGTCGCGCAAAATCACAGTGACGTGCAAAATTACGTTTCTCGTCTTTCAATTTCTGTCTTTCTCCCTCTACTATATCTCTTTCTCTCTGATGCAGTGCAATTAGCCTGTGGAGCTTTTTGCCGTTTAGTGTACGCAGTGCGCGTACTTTGAATAAGTTTGAAGAACTTTTCTATAATTTGCTCTTGGACCGCGCCAAGTGCTTAAACTATGCCAGTTTCGATTTTCACGCATTGTCTTTATCTAAAATAATTTTTATCGACTCCTCTCGATCCCTAGTAATCGTTTTATGTTCTCTCCGACACATCAGAATCACAAATACACTCCCGAGTCGAAATTTTGGCCCTATATTGAATCTTGAATTCTACAACGCAGTAGGAGCTAAGTTAGCAAATTAAGTTTAATTCTAATGATGCATTATTCCTACTTTAACTCTGATAATGTTCGAAATTTCCCTTTTCATTTTAGCATCAAAATAGGTTGTATTACAGACTTCAGAATATCAAAAAAGGTATTGAATAGAAAAGTAAGGCTAAAAGTAGGATCAAAATTTCAACTCGGGCTTGCATATCATATTTATCTGTAAATGATTATATACATACTGCCTCTCAGACTAGTATACTTTTCCCTTAAATTATAATGCTAGAAATTGTAATTGTACTATTTAAGTTATGTGCTAATTCTTTGTATATTAATTACTGATAAATGTAGCATTGTGCGCTTAAGAGGAATTTTCCCAGAACGCGAAGTAAATGCTGCTTTCCTCTCTCTCTCTCTCTCTCTCTCTCTCTTCCCCCCCTCTCTTTTTCTCCACCCACAGTCTATCGCAATATAGTAATGCAATTGTGAGTACGTGTGAACGGGAACGAGACGATTTAGCCGGTTACGATTGCGCACATGTGCGTGCACGCATAGTGAGCGAGCGAGCCGATGAGCTCTTTCGTTTGCTCGCGTCCGCGGAATAACGTCCGGCTATGGCCATTACCGAAATTAGCGTCGGCGATTCGATTACGCGCGGTTATTATTACATCGTCCTGGACGCGTGCGTGAGTGCGTGGGTGCGCGCGCACGCGATTGCACGCGTTTGATGCATCCGTCGAGATCAAAGGCGAATCGGCGATGATGGCTCGCGATGCGTCCCCCTCTAATGCGAGATCAGGTGAAATTTTATGTGACGCCGACTCGTCGAGAAGCATACATCACGCGGGAACGATGGGGCGATATCGGGTTTTTTCATGAAAAAAAGAAAGGAGAAAAAAGAGCAGATCCTAGATACTCGCGTCGCGATGGATTACGCGTCGCAGATTTCGTAATCGTTGTCCGAGCATTAGGACGGGAAAGAAAGGGGATTGACCGGTAGGACGTCAAATCTTATGGATTATCACTATCCGATTGTTTTTTTTTTCGGCCGAACAAAGTGAATTTCGATCATTGGCTTAATGGGATCTTCGAAATGTCGACTCATCTCTTTGACTGCGTGATCGGCGGCCAAAGGGTTGCAACATATTTTTACATTTTTTGATTGTTCTAACACGAAAATGGCGATAGCAACATGGACATATCAAGTTATTATAATTAACATTACTAGAATTTAATAAAAGAATAGTTCTGTTCATCATAAGTTATATTATTTCGTTATGTAATTACACTTACAAATACTTAAAAAATATTCTTTCAGTTAGTCTGATGCAACTATGCTGTTCACAACTAAATATTTAATTTTGTGCACCATATCTTTTTGTTCCGTGCGCAGATCTGCCTGGATCGTTTTTCATTCGCCCTGGAACCCGTTAGATCGACGAGTTTCGCAATCCCTTCGGCTGTATCGTGCGCGCATGGACAGGCCACGAAGTTCACAGCGCGAAACAATCGTTCGGCGAGCGCGTTGCGCAATCGAGGAGCACCTTCGGAGTGCCCCCGTCGGAAAAGTATATTAATAACAATTTGTTAGAGTCATTAAGGCTCGCTGGCCACTTACAGGCCGCAATTACACGTGCAATCGGCGAAGCCCCGCGATCGACCGTTACCTTCCACTACGTCGCGCGAAATCGCTTGTGGAAATCGCGCGCTCGCGAAATTAGAGTCTCGACTCTTATTCACCGTGGATAATCGGTGTCGCGAGGAGGGAAAAAAAATCACGCGACCGCCGGAGACATTGGAACGAGCGAGCGAGCGAGTTCTTTTTTCCAAAGAGTTCCGTGTCGCTGAGCGCGCAAACGTCGATCGCCGGTCGCGAAATCTTCGTCGTTCTTCTCCTCGTTGCAAGAAGCAACAACGTCGACGGGGCCGAACCTTGAAGCGTTATTTTACGCGCTCCTTGCGGCGGATCCCGCATTGTCGGAGCGCTGGCGCGCGGTCGGTCGCGCGAAAATCATATTTCGCGGCGAGACTCGCTACGTTGACGAACAATGGGACTTCCGGACTTTTTTTCCCGGTTTGTCGCGACCGCCGCA